GCAGCTTTTGAGGGCATCAATATGGATACATACTTTGTCCTCTCATTTTAAACCAATCACTCAACACTGTGACACAGATAGCATTGTTAAAGTGTCGCCGATTTAAAATACATACATGTATTCCTGTAAAGTGACAAATAAATTTTCATGTGTTGTAAATGTGTGATTGAACATGTATAATTACTTGTTGCTTATGTCATCTATTGTGTGTGGGGGGAGGTCTGAGATATAATTTGCCATGGAAATGATTTCATAAATGTTGCATACTGGTAGATATTTGAAGTTCTCCAAATTTTGAGTTTTGGTCACTAAAGTCTGAGAAAGTGTGCATCAGCTTTATGTACATGTGCTTTGTCTTCCTGTTATTTGCATTCAGCTTCTGTACTGCTTAAGTGACATTGAATTGAACATTTTTCAAGCTGCTTTCAGTAAGAGAAAAATATCAATCCCACTCAATGTCCTGGTTCAACATACAGATTGTTTGCCAGTATGTGTGTGAGTAAAACATCCACCAAACCTTATCTCAATGTCTGGTTGGAAACTTGAGAGTGCACGCCATTTCTTACTGTTTCAGCAAATTGTTCAGTCTCATTGAAGCACTGCTGCTGGGAGTTGGCTCCATCCAGCCAAGGTGGCAGCCTCTTGCTCTACCTCATATTTGTCGTGTGTGTGTGTGTGTGGGGGGGGTGCTGACATCATTTGAGACTAAGGGTTGATGTTTGTGATACAGATGCACATCTGTAGTAATATGTATTACGCTCCTCCAGAATCTTACATCAAAATGATATATTTATGGCTTAAAAAATGTCCTTTCTATTGAACACATTTTGGTTGTAGGAAAGTCTGAAAAATTCTTTACAATTCGCCTTAATTTTTTCTCACCATGAAAAAGTGGGGAGCTTGATTCAGTAGCCCACAAAAAGTGGGGAGGATATATACCCCCCCCATTTGCCATGGATTTGTTTCCAAAGGTTTCTTTCCCCTGAAAGTTATCCGAAAACTGTGAAAGGAATATCATCATGTTTACACACATACAGTTGAAACATCAAATTGTCCTTATAACAAAAATAACATCTTCAGTAGCAGCCCTTACTGTCATTATGGATACATCTATGTGTCACTGAACACAGTAAAAATAATACTGAAGAGTGATTCAGCCATTGCCAAGCTTAGACAGTAATTGTTTTGTGGCTTGATATGATTCCAATTAGTCACAGTTGACATGTAATGTTAACACACTGATTGGTTAATTGCACAGTTTGAAACCACAAGATGGAGCAGTATAGGTGCTCTCCTAAATTCCAGGCTCAGTCAGGCAGCAACTAGTCTCATTGGAAAGTGTCTTCAATACTGTAATTTCTTTGGTCTAAACAGTCATTTGTACATGATTCTCAAATAGGATCTTGCACACCCTTTGTGTCTCCAAGATGCAAGTACAGTATTTTGGTCCCGTCTGTTGGATGTAATTGTTAGTTTGCATCGTTTGGTTTCTGCAAAGAATTCCATTTGAATGCTTGCAATTTAAAGATGCCAGCAATTCTCACATTAGTAGTTGCTGTCAAAATGGGAAGTAAGAGATTTTGAAATAACAAATTTGTTTGCCTATAAAATATTAACTTGTGGCTAAATTGTTTGCAATTAATTTTACATCTAATTCTCCATTGTGTATAGCTACAATTAGTTATGATTAGTTACATTAATGGCAGAGGTTATTTGTTGGAACCCTTGCAAGAGATAACCTGTCATTTGTGGTATTTGCATAGACACTTTGTCACAGTTACCTATCTGAACTCAGCTAGGAGTCTTTGAATGGCTGCAAAGGGAACAGTGATAGATAGAAGAGTGCTTTGCCTAATGGGCAACAGCATTTTATTCTCATGCTACAAACTGGTCCCAGTTTGGATCTGGATCCTGACAGTATTTTTGCTGCTATGATTGCATGTCTCTGCCTTCAAATGCGAGCTTTCTTTTTTTGTAAAGTCTAAACTTGTATCTATCAAACATACATGTATTTACTTTCTTCAATCTTTATTCTTCATTTATCTTATTTATATGACCAGACTGGTTGCTAATGATGTGCCTTGATTTAATATTATCAAATAAAAGTGATTTTGATTTTGACCGTTTGAAGAGCAACACCCTTCATCATGTAGCACACTATCTGTCTGTGATAATTATCTCAAGTTTCACAGTGCTATGGGCCAATTGTTGCCTTGATGGCACTAATTGATGGTGGTTTGTTTGATGGGACCGACTGCTGAGTCAGTTGGCCAAGCAGTCCTGCAGGCATTATCAGAAGCACAACAATACACCATAGTGCTGACACAGTAACCTGCGATTATTGTACAAACGGTGGAGATGTTTGGGGCATAAAGCTGGGCCATATTGGCTGACCTACTTGGGGATGGTTGGCCCTAGGGTGTGACAGTAAGAGCTAGGAAACAAGACACCCCTCTGACACCACAAATTGCTATGAGAACTTGGCACATGAAATTGAAGACTGCATTACCAGTATGATGTTACTGCCTCTTAATTGAGGATTAGGCCAAGCAAATTCAATTCCATGTTTCAGCCCTGAGGAGTTGCATACAGGTATGTCTGTATTGAAAGGTTGTGAATGAATGGCAGGCATGATATTTGGGGATACTATGTATCCAGAGTTTTAGCTCACCAGTCACTGGTTTACCATTTGTAAGAAATTGTGAATTGAAAACTTAATTTTCATGTTACTGACATGAAATTGAGACTGAAAAGGGGGCCTTAAAGTTGAAATTTGATTGCCCTAGGAACAAGACTTACAGGGACTGGGCGAGCTGAGATGCTGTGATGGATGGACATCATTTGCTGACAACCAGTGAGGATGTAGCACAATAGAACCCTGGGCATGGCACAGTGTCCTGTTACTACTGTTGCTTTTGTCTGGTCTGGGATAGAATTCACTTGCAGTGTGCATGATAATCATAAGGGGTTCCGTTGCATACAGGTCTAGCGTCTTTGTCAGCAGACAGGCTAGGCAAGGTGCAGTGTGTGTTCAGCATAACAGATTGTCTAGTGTCACTGACATCAGCTGTGTCAGACTATGTAAGGAGGTTGTAGAGGAACTTTCATTGACAACAAGCTTTTGCAAACTAACACGTGTACATTCACTTTTGTCCCATTTGCTGTAATGAAGAGATGATGGATTGGAAGTGTTGCTGCCCTGAATTCCCTTTTGTGGAGTGTTTGGTGTTGTGGATGAATAGACATCAATGCAAGTTGATGTTTGGGTATTATGTGGGTAGTTTAATGGAGTTCACAGCTGTACATAGTGATCGTGCATAATCATTTATTCCTTTATTGTGGGTCATGCTCATATTGATACAAAGGTTTGTTCACATATTTGTTTCAAATTCAGTCACACTGATCTTATGAAGGAAATGGTTAGTCTAGGTCGTTCCAAGTGATCTTATCTTGCTCCTCAGGCTTGGTTTACATTGCTTTTCAAGAATACCATTAGTATCTTTTTTGAAAAGAAAGAATGAGCAATCACATCAAAAGTGGAGAGAAACAACACAATTTCTTTTCAGTTGTTCAGCTGCAAGCATGGTGAAATAGCACTCTTCAGTAAAATGCTATGTAACATATAAAACAGAGACATTGATCGTATGAGTAACAATGACAGTTATCAGAGTGAAACAATAAACAGAGTCAAGAATAATCAATCACACAGCAGTAGCCCACACACATTGTGAAAAACATATTTCCTGTCTGTTTTCATTTAGGCAAATTATGAAACATCAAAGTATGATATACTAAGTCACAAACAAGTGAAAAAAGGTCCTGTAAATGTTAGAGATAAAGACTAGCACAGGAAAAAACAGACTTCTTGCTGGAAACACTGAAATGTATGGTATAATTATGGAGTGAAGCGTGTACTATATGAAGGTGTTTATGAGTTGCTGACTATAGCCAGCAGGATGTTGATAAACATGTCTTCAAACCATTTGGATCTTTGACAACATCACCACTCACAGGGACTGGTTAGAACTCTACAACAACCTGGCATTTGTCACTCAACAAAATGATGATGAAGATCAGAAATGAAGCCAAACCCAAAGATTTAAAGGGACTGAATCAGCTGTAACATGGATGTACTTTAATTTTTTGAAAATTTGTTTTGCAAATATTTCTTGATGTACTGTTTCATTATATCTGTATAAGAAATACATGCTGTATAGGAGAAGAAATTTTAATTGATACACCTACATTGTGTGATGTTTCATCAACACGTTTTTGTGGATGTAGAATAACTTTAAAAGTTCTAGTTAACAGTATTAATGTCATTAGAAATGCATATTGTAAATGTATGAATAGATTTTACCCAGCACAAATTTATTCAATGAGGGAAAGAGATTTATAAATGTATGTCATATAGAAATTACAAATGATAAATTGCATGTACTTGTATGTGCTCTACATATGTCAAAAGGTTTGATTTACAATACATGTACACTTTTCGTTCACTGGGGGAACTCCCAAATGAACAGTTCTGTGTTATTTATACTAATTTATGGTCAGCTGTCAGCCTTAACTGAGGATGTTTGTTTATAGTTCATGTTTTGTTTGTAACAATTCAAGTCATCTACCTTACTCCTCCTGGCTGGAGTGATCAGTGACCTTCTGCACCACTGAGCCTTTGTTACCAATACCACCAACTGTGGTCCTAAGGAGATTACCACATCAATTCCATCAAAAGGCTTACCAATCTCAGTGTCTTCACTGAGCTGGCTAGTGGTAGTTAAAAAAGTCAATACCTTGAGTGTTCTTTTTGTCCTGCTGTCTTAAACTGATGATTAGTGCTAATTTGTATAGTACCAGTGCTGGAGGGAGAGAGGCAGAGTTCACCTGCTTGCTAGTCTGACCACCCCCATGAGAAGAATGGACATACCCGTTGTAATCTTGCCATTCATGCTCATTCATTAATTTCTCAGTGGGCTCACTTTGTGTTACACTCTGCACAGATCCTGCGGAACGCTCGCTTGCATGCAGTCTACCAACAAACTAGTGATAGAAAGCTAGAGAGACACACCATCGTGGGTTGAGCACAGCTGAACACACCAGCGAGAAAGAACACTCTCAAATGTTGGTGCTGAACTGGTTAGCTGTTTGTGGATCTAGCACTTGATGTTGCTGCTGTTGCTGCTGCAGCTAGACATCACTCAGCCAGCACCCAGGATGACATACGTATGCTGTGTGTGGTTGTTGCTCATGTCTGTCACAGCTCATCAGATTCAGTCAACTCAGGCACAAGGTAGGATGCTAGGCAAGGTTTATTCACTCTGATTCACTTATTCAGCCAAACCAAAGCAGCTCAAAAAGTTAGAGATGCGGTATATTTAGACAAGAATAATAGATGTGAAGAACCTAGTCAAGCACAGTCACTTTTTTTCATTATTTTGGAGCCTTTAGACGGGTTAACTGCTAATTCCTCCAATACTCTCAATGCATGAGAAGTTCTTCAATACTTTTGTTGGAGTATTAATGTTATGAGCCTGAACTCCTAGGCAGACAACAGATGCTTCAAGCAACTCCAGAAGTTAGGGTTTCAAGGGTAAAACGAGAGCAAGAACAAGAAGAGTGCAATCTAGTCTACATACAAATGAATTACAGGTGTATTTTTCACTAACGTTCTTGGAAAATTAAGAAACACATGTTTCATGTTTGTAGCAGTTTCTTTTCATTGGCTTTCAAAACTTGCTTTTTAACAATTGTACCTTACTCTCTAGAAAACAAAAAAAATACAACATTAAATAGCTTGTAATCTGAAGATCTTTCTTTTTCATTGTTTACCCTCCAATCTATGCCATCACAAATTGAAAAATACACTGCACAAATTCTTGAGCAGATTGGAATGTGCTTTTTTTTTCTCTTCATACTCTCTAGTTGCATGCCTGCTTGATGAGTCTCTCCCTGATTGCGCTTTTTTATTCTTTCCTGAGATCAATTGAAGCAGTGTGGCTCTGTAAAGTCTCTTATTGATTTCCATTTTATCAATAATCTCATTTTGATTGGAGGGTCCCTGAAATGATCAGTCCTCTTCAAGTTAATGAGAAGCGGAGGAGGTCTCCTTGATCAGAGACAGGCTGCATACTGGATCCTGGTGACTACCCTCAAATCATCTAGTATGATGTACATTGCAACATTGGTGTTCCTCTTATTGCAGTATTTTCCCCAGTATCATAGAAACTGAGTTCTTTTTATGTGGAATAGAGGTGTGTGTAGTTCGTGTTTATGATTCATGCATATGCGCATGTTTGGCAGTTAATTATTCATGACATCATTGCCTGTTGACCTCAAGACCGTGCCCAGTTGGTAAGCATTGCTATCTTTGCCTTGTAAAAAAAGGCATTACATTACTGGAACACCTCAAAACTGGTAACAAACACCTCTTAGAGCGAGAGGGAAGTTTGATGGAAGTTTTTCACTTGCTCTGTGCACCACTTAGTGAATTAAATTGGGAAAAGTGTTGGGGGATGCTAATTGCTGCCACAGCATTGACAAACTTGGCTACTACTCGGTGTCATGTGCCAAACATGCTTAAAAGCAAAAACAGTGGATAGAGGCCATTGCCATTGAGTTTAAATCTGTGAGTTTTCCTAAGTTTTTCTTCCCAGTTGTGTTATTTATCTTCCACCTGACATCTCCCATTGTGTGTAGGCCAAAGAAATAAAGATCCTTTGAACAAGCACACATTGCTTTTCAGGTTGGGATGTTGTCAGACGGGCAGGGTATACATGTACAGTATATTGATGGTACATGTGACATTTTGCCTTGCTATTTTTGGACATTTGAGGATACTAGAGAACTAGAAAGCACACAGCATACATAATTGATATTGAGGCTTATATATTAAAACATCAATGTTCCTGTTTATTTGAATCTTTAGCTGATGTTGGAATGCAGTTTTCACACTTCAGTGGAACTGAACAATAAAGCAAAAAAGTGACTGGAGAAAGTGAAGTCTTTATCTTCTGAAGTCATTTTCACACGATAGTCTTGAATACATGGCTACCTCATACGGAGCTTACACAGCATTATTCAAACTTTACTGCATTCATTTACCGATACATTTTTGCATTTGTAGTTTAAATCTGTCATATCAAAGGACAAAGGACTTTGTATTGCAAGAAATACAGATGTAAACTGCTTAATGACTGTGACTTTTCCATGAGAACATTGAGGAGACAATATCAGGAAAATAATGGGATTTTTAAAAAGTGGTGCATTATGCTTGTGACTTTAGGAAGACAGTGACAGAAAAATCTTGATATTGTCTGAATAATAAATGTAGAAAGGGAGAGTAGAGTATGTTATTCTATGCTTTTGTGTGTACATATACTTTGACACAAAATGGATTTGCATCTACTCTCCTGGTACATACATTGCATAGTTTGCATTATTACACTGAACATTCAATCAAATTTCAGGGGATCTCTACTTGGCACATGTGGTCAAATGGGACTGGATGACATTGTCAGCATTTTGTGTTTTAAAGTCTGACATGAGGAGCTGATTCTGTGGTGCCCCCTCCCCCAGGCAGGGGGTATACATATTCACACCCCTGAATAAACTTGTACGTCTCATGAATCATGCAGATTTGATTGCTCAGACTGGCATTGCATGCACAAAACAAATTTGTTTCAGATGTATATGTACCAATGTGCCTTTTCAGGAGTTTTTAAAATAAATGGAAGGCACATGTAATTGAAAACATTTATCAGCTTCATACATGTTTTTGGATTGGTACAGCGATGTTTCGGGTAACTGAGTATTCATTTCTGTGGGAATGCTACATGTGTGTGCATACATAGAACATACATGCATTCTATTTGCACATTGCAACAGACAAGTGTTTTGGTTAACACCCTGCACATTTTGTAATGCGTGCTTGTATGGAACTCATATCAGATATCAGAAATTAATCTCTTAAAGCCTTCGTACCCTTCACCAAATCAATCCACAGTATTTTTGCTGGTCTACATTTTAAAGCTTGAGGAGCCTAGTTTGAAAATGTAGTGAAAATGTTTTATTCAGAAAAGTTCAGTCCACTGCATACTCGATATCCAAAAGACATCTCCAAACTTTTCATGTTGGTTTTCATTCAACAGAGGAGTGTTTTGTTAAAGGAGAAAATGTAGCCCACAATACATGTACATAAATGGTAAATTGAGCTGGACAGGTCTATCTGATGTCTGGCCTGCGTGACTTGAAATTCAGAAAATACATTTTTGTCTGTAGTCTTAAATGAGAAGACTACATTTGACTGCAGTTGAACACTTTTGTAAAAAGTTACAGATATTGAATCATGATGCACAAAAATGCTTTAGTTAGTAACATTGAAATGCATTATTGAACTCAGTGCAATGAAGGGAAGAATTTGATTCCCGAGTAGCCCTTTCATAAGCAAAATAAGAAAAAAAGTGGAAAGGGAATTGATCAAAATTCAGCAGATATTGAAATTTGGTCTGTGTGGCAATTGTCTGTTGCATTTGGCCGTCTGCTTGTCTGCTGGAAATCATAAGACGCCTGTCTAATATTGGACTTGATCTCATGACCAATGACTCACAGACCATATAATGCTTCATTTCACATCTCGTATGAAAGCCATGCAGTTGATTTGGAGTCACACTTGTGTGCCTGCAAATATTTATCTTCAATTTGTAGTAATTTTAATCTGTGTGTCTTTGCAATGCCGATGAATACTGGTAGCCTACAAGCTTGTAGTTTGAATCATGATGAGGAACACACTCAGTGCATTTATTGGTATGTTTAAGCTATCAAATGCATGATTTCAAGGATACATAGCTTGAATATGGTTTACCAATAACACCATGGAATAAATATGCCAAATATCTGTTGCTAAGAAATGTTCCCTCCAAGAGGATTGGTGATGAGATTGTTTTCTTGATGTCTATGCACTGTGCCCTGCTTGTCCACATTCTACAGAGGATAGAGGAAACATCTTGCCTGAACATTTACTGAAAACATTCTCATCACAAGTTTTCAATTTGAAAGGATAATTCTTCAGAAGAGGTCTTCATGTTACATTCAAGTTCCTTTTGGTGTGGCTGGCAAACCTTATTCTTTTTATCTGATTCAAAAAACAAACTTCCTTGGATTTTATTAAAACATACTTGTTCTCCGGGAAGGGTATTTCATGATATTCATGATATTTATTCATTTTGTGTAAGTATAATTTGTCAGCACATAGTCCTAACTATGTAAAGTAAGAATGAAGACTTCTGATATTTGTGGTCATCATGGCTTGTAAATATACAATATTGGCATGGTGGTCTTTTAATGTGACCCAGTAGAGTTAGGGGGAATAGCAATGACCCATGGGTCTAAGCTGTGACAACAGTTGTTTTGTTGAGGAGCAAAGTGCTAGTTGCCTGAAGCTCTACTCAATCTCAGCACAGAATCTTGGCCCCAAGGGCAGATTGCCCCATGGTCAGATCCTCTCATTTACATGCTGCAAAGCACCAAGTTTCAATTAATAAAACATACACTGCCCAAGGAGACAGGCTGTTCTCACTATAGCATGTCGGAATGCATGATACAGTGATAGGCCAGCGGTTTTCCCCGGAATGTAACCTCTTTGTAGAAAACTTTTAATCTGAAAACCAATCTCTTTCCACCTCTACAGTTCTGGAGCTTTGTGACCTGCATGGTATGGATGTAAGGGTGTCATCTCCTCTGTGCATGAAACATGAAGCAAACATTTAGCTAAATTAGATGGAGTATTTTGTTACTATGATCTTTGGTATCACTGTCTTGGAATCGGCAATTCTAGTTTTACCAGGTACCTGTGTACGGTTTATGAAGATCTGGGGATTGATTTACATCACTCTGTCAAAAATATGACAACGTATGGGAATTGTGCATGGAAATTTATCAGTATCAGAACATGTGCAAGACATCCACGTTACCTTCAACACTTTCACAAAGGCTTGACACACACATAAAGCATAGTACATTGTCGTGGTATTGAATTCATTGACTGATTTGCCACCCCCCCCAAGAAGTTTAAAATGTGAACCAGTGACCTTGCATTTGGAGCCCTGAGTGATTTCTTTGTTTTTCAAACTCAGCCACATCATCGGGAGATTCGTCTCTCTTAAATATTTTGACATTCCCAGGAGTGGGTAGTGGGGATTCTAAGTCAACATCATGGGATATTGATGGCACATGACTTACTGAGTCTTGGGAAGGATACAGGGGGACCAGGGTGTCATGTGTGTGGTATCAGCT